TATATATATATATATATATTAAATTATACACAAATATAACTTACTAATTTATACTTTCTAAATAAATAAATAAGTGTAAATTCTATCTTCACATGGTTAAAAAAATAGTCGAGCAAATAAAAAATACACTAAAAAAATGTTTATCGAAAATAAAATAGAAGAGAAGGGAGGATTTTCTTTAAAAGGTTTAATGACTAAGTATTGATCTTTTCGTTGGCAAATAATAAAAAATTATTAATATTTATTAAGTTTTAAAATTATTATTATAAAAGTCAACAAATTTATTTCTTTTAATTTTGTATATTAAAAATACTTAACTTTTTATTAAAATATAAATAAATTTCAATTTATTCAACTTCATTTAATATTTTTGTTTAAAAAAATCTCTAACATAATAAATGTAAATAGGAGCACTATCTAAAAAAACAATTATAATATCATAAAAAAGTACTATACTTTTATATGAATTATGAAAATTAAGATAATAAATAAGAGTATTATAAAAAAAATTTATAATATCATAAAAAAATATTGTATAAAAATTAAATAAAGTTAACCAACTTGCTTATTCTAGGTGAAATTATTATTATTTTTATATAAATTTGAATCTTATTGTTGTTATTATAATTTTTACTAATAAAATAAAGATTTAAATATATTTTGTCCTTATAAAATGAATGAGTTTTGATTTGAGATCCTGTAAATTTTTTAATTTTATTTTTTTTATCATTTTAAAATTTATAAATATTATTTTTGACCCATAAAAAATAAGTAATTAATTATGATTTTAGTTCTTGTAAAATACTTTTTATTTTATTTTTATTCTTTAAAATTTAAAGTCATTGTTTTTTTTCCCTAATAACCATTATAAGGTATATATATAACACTTACTTTAAGATTTTATAAAATAATTTATAAGTGTCACATGTATATATATATAAAGTATCGTAAATAACTATGAATATTACTTGAAATTGCTACATATATAGTGAACACATGAGTAATTAAAAATGACAAAATAATAGTAAAAATTAAAAATAAAAAATTCAAGTTTTAGAGGGATAAAAATATTAAAAAAAAAAGAATTATAAGAATTAAAATCAAAATATTCTCATTTTATGGAGGTTAAAAAATTATTTAAATATAAAATAAATAATAAATTACTACCAGTTCTCTTTTTTATGCATACGAGTATATGAATTTGCTCATTTAGTAAGGAGAACTTTCCCTCATTTATTTTTTAATTTACCCCTTTTATTTTTAATCTTTAATTATTTTGTGTGTTTTAACTTAATTCAAAAAATTTATCATTTTAGAAACTAGAAGAACATTTTTTTTTCTGTTTTTGTTAATTAATATAGCACACAATTCCGTACTTAATTAATTTTTTTAGTAAGAAATCATATATGTTTTTTTATGAAAAGCAATCTTAATCAAGTAAAATCTGTCTCCAAGTACGTAATTAATGATTTCACAACTATCACTCATTTTTATAATAAAAGTAAAAATGTTTTTTTTTATCATATTGATTTGCTTCAAATGTATGCAATTAATATTTCTTATGTCTACGTTATCTTAAAGAATGAATAGTTTGAACAAGTGGAGGTACGAAATAAAGTGCAATTCAAATAATGCTAGTTGCATACATATACACGCACAAGTTTGCATGACGTTGAAGTTTCATTTAAAGCATTATATATATATATATAAAGATAAAAAAAAATTATAAAATTATATTACTCAGTAATTTATTATTATATTAAATTTTAACGATCAAATTATTAAGTTTAAAATTCTTAATATACAATTAAAGTCTTTAAATTTTAAGAGCTATTTGTAATAAATTATATATAAATAAAAAATTTTAATTTAACGATTGAATCATTAAAATTAAATATACATTATGAATTATTAAAAAAATAATTTTATTAATAATTTTTTTTGAGTCATTTGTTCCTCTCACATCAATTCATATATACTATACAAACTTCTATATTGCATGAGATATTTTAAAAGTTTTTTTTTTCAATAAAAGAGTTTGTAAATTTTTATTTAATTTCTTATCTAATTTTTTTTTTATCATAATTATTTATGAATTAAATATAAATATTTCAAAATAAGTTATCAATATATACCAACAAAAAAAATCAATAACTATTTTTTATAATATAAATTATTTACCATAGATTTAAAATATAATTTATATATTTAAAAATATTTATGTGTACTAATTTTAAATATAATTTATATATTCAATATATTCTTTATTATAAATTTTAATTATATTATATATAATAAACATATCTATACATTTCACATACTAAAATATTAGTTTTTGTGTGTATATATATATATATATATAATTAATTAATACTATTTAAATTGGATTAAATATTAATCATTTGAATTATATAGTATCACATTTGCATATTTGTTTTTGGACAGAATTTCCATGTCTAGACTTCATATATGCATAATTAATGTATTTCATGAGAAATTTATTACTATTTGATAATAAAACAAATTTAAATATATCATATAATTATACATTAACTAATGATCAATATGTAAAAAATATGTGGATTGATATAAAAAAAAATCATATAACTTTTTAAAGAGATTACATAGTAAAAGAAAAACTTCTAAATGTTTTTGGTAAGACATTGCAATATTTTAAAAGTTTATAACTTATTTTCGTAAGTTAATTGAACTAAACTATAATAAATAAATTCTTATTTTTTATCTTACATATTTACTTGAATTCTTCTTCTTCTTTTTTTTTTTTTTTTGCTTTTTTTAATTTTAAAACTATTTTGTCTAGCATGTCATTCTCTTAATTAGTTTCATTATGAAAATTATTTTATGTCATTTATATTTATCAACTAATTTTACTTAACACTTTCAATTCAATAGGCTAATTTATAAGTTTATATCATTTTTTTTCTCTGGTTTATAAGGTTTTAGGTAACTTATAAGTAAACTTTACTAAACACATTCTATATAATACGAAAAAAATAAACTTATGGTATTTAATTTTGACATGAAGGCTTGGTTGCAGGAAGTAACAAGTTTTCGTTTTTTATTTAAGAAACAACTAGGGAATAGTTTGCCTTTGTTAGAGGTAGTGTGTTTGAAATTGAAAGTAAGCTGTTTTTTGTTTGAGAGAAAATAAAAAGGTGAGCAGTGACGGCTGGGATGAGGAAGATAGAGAACAGTTATTTGCGGGGGAGGGAGCTTAAGGTTTAGTCACTTCAGGAAAGTGAATGAATGAGTGAAAATACCAAAAGCTGGTAACAGGTCAATCAAAACGACTGTGCTGCATGTGCAGTAGTCAGGACGAGCTCAAGTCAAGAACGGGGGATCCACTTTGACCGGGAATACCAGGTCACACTCAACCCACGTTACCAAATTGCCCCTATGTGTAGAGACAAGGGGTACGGGAGCGACCGGTGACAATAGGGTTGACGCGCACGGTACACGGACGTGTGCTGCAGCCATTCTGCACTCTGCACTCTGCACTCTGCAGTGTGCATAAAGAAAGAAAATACAATCATCATTGCGTTTCCCAGCAAAAGCCTGATCTCAAATCTCAATACTTAACTATCAAACCTTTCCTTTCCCATCTCCACTCTTTTTACCATTCAAATGCTTTTTTAATTTCTTTCTCACACTACATTATTTTTTATTTATTTTTTTTATCAAGTTAATTCTCACTCATTCTTTTTCATTCCCTTTAATTCTTCCCCAACCCAAACAGAACATAAGAAGAGATCATGTAAGTTTATTAGGGTTTAACAACATATTTTTAATACATTCATCTTGACACATTTTTCATCCATTAAAATTTTATTAATTAAGAGTCTGTTAAAAAGAATTTATAAATTTAAATATGTTTAAAAGTCTCAGATTATTTAAAAGTCAAGATTAATCATTATTTATAAAATATCTTTCTTTTTTAATTTATTATAATTTTTTATGACAAAATCATGATAGTTTAATGAATGTTAAATAAAAAATATTTCAATATGATGTTTTTAACCATGCAAACAGGCTTGAAGTTGTAATAACATCTCTTAATTATTGGTTTACCTGAAATAAATTTGTTCAAAATATAAGTTTTATTTTCTTTTTGGTTAGAAAATATAAGTTTTATTTTGTACTACTTGCAGTTTATTTATGAAAATAAGCTAATTTATAAGCTACTAACATTTTATTTTATTTAGTTTTTTGAAACCTCTTTTAACATTTTTAATTTTTACATTAAATTATACTTTACAACTAAATGTTTGTAATATTATTTTATATTTATCAACTAATTTATCAGTTAATTAAACACATTACAAAAGATTTGTTTTCAGAGAGTATTCTTATTTTTTTAATTTAAAAAAAAATAGAGAAGATGATTTAATTCCTGAGAAAATATTTTGCGACAAATGAGCAAATTTTTTTTATTTTGTAACAACTAATTGTTTTGAAGTCTTGGGGATTTAAAAACTTAAATAATAATTATTTGTAAGAAAAGATTGAATAATCCATATTGATGATATAGTCAATTCCACATTCTAAACTAAAGTAGAAAAAAGCGCGGAGAGCTGGAAAGAAACTGTTATACCACAGAAAACAGGTATAGGAGTAAATATATTTATATAATGTTATAATAATGCAATGAGTCTCAGAAATTGGGGAATTGAAAATTAAATGCATATACTATACATGTGTCATTTAAGATTTATGAGACACATGCGTAAGGATTAATTGTGGCAGAAATTAAACATCACAGGTGACAAGCAATAGCATAGGTAGCTAAGGTTATATAAATAGATGGAGGCAAAGGTGGTACAAATGATTTGGTCTAAGAAGAATGGATAATAAATAATAATGATAAGTATCCGTTTTGTTTATTAATTATAAGGTGGTCTCGGAGTGATGAGAGAAGTAAGTGATCTCCATTAAGAAATAATAAATGTGAAACAAATATTAAAAAAAAGAATATTAGTAAAAAAGAGAAGGTAGTTAAGAAAATAATGATAGTGAGTGTGAATAAAAGGTAGGACTAGGATAGGAGGGTGGAAGGAAATAGGATTTATTAAGATAGATTTAAGAAGAAGGGAAGGGTAGCTGGTGTTGAAAGCTGTTGCGCTTGTGCCAGTAGTACTAAAGAAACTACAAACAACAATAAACTCCGTCTCTCTTCTCTTTATTTCCTTCGCTTCCCTACCCTATTCTCAAACAAATTCTATCTTGCATCGCACCGTAAGTTCTCTTTCTCTCTCTCTCTCTTGTTACATATATATTCACTATTCATCGCTTCCTTTCTAAAATCGCACCAATTTCGATTACCACACGCTCATGGATCTCCTCACCACTTCCATTTCTCCTTCTTACATTCGAACTTCACCGCCACGCAAACCACGCCCTATCCAGATCTACCGGTGCAACTTTCTTTTTTCGCTTTTTTCTTTTTTATCAAATGAAATTGCTCGGATGTTCCACGTTCTTCTTCTTCCTGCGCCAATGTTATTGATTTTTTTCGCTTCCGATTCTTTTCTGCTTCTTGGATTGAATCGCTTCTTCACTCCTTTTCGTGTCGGTTAATTTAGGAGACGCTTTTAATGACCTAGATTAGTTTAATAATATCTCGTTTGAAATATTTTCTTGTGTTTTTTAATCCACGATCACGAATCGGAACATGAAGCTTCGTTGAATCATCCGTTTCGTTTTTCTCCATGATTCCTCAATTTCCATGCCTTCTATTTATTTACATCTATCAAGATTTATTTATTGATATTATTATTATTTAATAATAATTATTATTATTATCTCCATTTGACTCTTTCTCTCTCTTGTTTGTTTGTAGAATATTGAAATCATGGTACTGCAAGGGTTGTGAAAGCTAGATACTAATTAGAGGTCGTTTAAAGAAAGAGAAACCATAGTATAGATTTGATCTAATTGATTATTAGAATTTGATGATTTAATTAAGCGCAGAAGTTGCCTTGGTGTGTGAGGGACAAGAGAGAGAGAGAGAGAGGGGGGGGATCGGAAAAGATGTCATCATCATCGAATTCGCCGTGCGCGGCGTGCAAGTTCCTGAGGCGAAAGTGCACGCAAGAGTGCGTGTTCGCGCCGTACTTTCCGCCGGACAACCCTCAGAGGTTTGCTTACGTGCACAAGGTTTTCGGCGCCAGCAACGTGGCCAAGCTCCTCAACGAGCTCAGCGCGGCGCAGCGAGACGACGCCGTAAAGTCCCTCGCGTACGAGGCGGAGGCGCGTCTCCGGGACCCCGTCTACGGCTGCGTGGGCCTCATCTCCGTCCTCCAACACAAGCTCCGGCAGATCCAGGTGGAACTCAACAATGCCAAGAAGGAACTCGCCACCTATATTGGCCCACAAGCCTTTCAGCCCATGCCCGGCCCCATTCTCCAACACCACCCCAACAACCCTTTCCCCTCTCCCCTCTACGCCAACATGGCGGCGGGCGCTCCCCCCCCCCACGCCGGCCCGGTTG